CATTCATGGAACTCACATTTTCCATTGTACTGAATTGTTGTATTGTCTCTCTTATAGGTCACATTGTCTCTAATCAAGGACCTACCAAAGACCTTCATGCTGCCAAACCATTACTTTATAACCTCCCATCTGTTTCTCATCCACCTCCAACGGAGAATTATACTGATGCCTCGCTACTGAACTCCAGATTAAACACAGTACACTCACAACCACCATCAAACGAAATACCATCTACACGGCTGTTTCCAGATGTGTCACCGACCTCATATTTAATGACTGAGCGTTTATCAAGAACTCAGCACTCCGATACAAGCAAACATCTGTCCTCAGGTCTGAATCAGGATGTAATGTCTCAGTTAAATGTAACAACTCAGGATGTGTCATCAACCACATCATCGGGTCAGCCAACACTGTCTGGAAAAACTGAACTGGAGTCTTCTCTGTCAATGTCCTTGTTTGAGTCCTCAGTGACAACAATGACACCAGCTTTACCTTCGGAGCTTGGCTTTTCTAGTGGGCAACTGGACACACCCATTATTATAAATCCAACATATCCAGGAGATTCTCTCAAACTTGCCTCATCATCTCCGACACCACAGCTGCTGGCATTTTCCAAATCTTTGCCACCTGATATTCGCATCTCCTATTTGCAAAGTAACATTGAAAGCCCAGTTGTTACAGACTTACAGTCACAATTAGGCGTAGACTTATATGTTGATCTAAATCCACTAATGCAGACATTATGCTCAGACATTTCCTCGATGTCCCTGCAGCCAATATATACATCCCAGGCTCCTCAAATGAGCCCTCTTTTAATTAAAACCCTTTCTGTCCCATTATCTATGTTCAAAGACCAACCTTTTAAAGAACCATCTGTCGAGTCAGCTCGTGAGAGTGTGCAATCAGTGCGACAAACACTCCATACACTGCTGCTTGGGGAGTCTCACCAAATTGATACATTTCACCACATATCCTTAGTCATTGGGATGACTACAAGCATGTATTTAAATACAGCAGCAGGCCCAGGTGTGACCTATCCACTTCCAATTTCAGTATCTGAGAGCACTCGACAAGTGTCTGAGTTTGATCCAACTGCTCCCTCTACTGTTCAGGAGCTGTACACTACATCCTTCATTCATCAAATGCAAAATCTTGATCCTTCATTCCCAGTATGTGGTCAATCTGTGATGCAGGATCATGTGTATGTGAGTGGTTGTATCACCCATATCAAAAGTACCTATGTTGAGAACACAGTGGAGTACGTTGTGGACAGTAATTCACAAGATGAGAAGCTCTGGACTGATTTCCCATCACAGGTTTTAATGTTTGACTCAAGCAGACGATTCTTTTCGACCAAGACGTCCAGGGAATACCTGTCAATGCATCCGCTTCCCTCAGAGGATATTTTAATGAAACAAACTGAGTCAAATGCACTTATGTCTTCACTGTTGCATTTGTCTGCCACTATAGAAACAAACCAACTAACAGCTACTCCACAACTGGACATCTCAGAGGCTCTTCCTGCTCTAGAGGGCACTGGCTTCTCAGTAATCACATCACCAGCACTGGACACAACTGGCCTCAGTAACAACTATGTCAGTTTAGAGAACTCCTTATTCATCTGCCGATCATCTGCTACAAAAGGACGTCCCACTCAGCAGATTGTGAGCACGTCTTTGAGGCGATTTTATGGGACGTCAACCGCATTGTTAACATCATCAAAGGCTGTAGGTCTTTCCTCATATAGAAGAGAGAGCTCAGTCCTGACAACACCTTCCTCACCTTCCATCTCAAGTAAGTACCATCAAGGGTGCCATAACTTACTGTGAATACGTGCAGGCATAAATACCCACATGTGCCCAGAGATTATATTAAGCATGATAAGGAAAAGCACCACAACATTTGCTCTGAGTGGTTTAAAGTTTTTAAATCTGGTACAGACATACAGTACTTTGGGCAAATATCTAACGATATAACTTTGAAATTTTTGATTTTCTGAAAACTACAGCCATTTTCTTACCACACTATGTAACCATAAAAATTGTTATATTTTATATTTCAGGCGTCATGAATCACCCACCTACAGTGTTGCAGTCTGTTCCAGTGTTGATGGCCACTGTTGGTTTCCCCTTCCACTACTCAATCCCACCTAAAACCTTCCATGACCCGGAGGATGGTGCTGCAGACGCTCTCTCCCTGGAGATGAGGTTGATTGATGGGCCTCCTATCAGTGTTGGCACCTGGTTGGCACTGGATGGTCTGGAGCTCCATGGTGTTCCTCTGGAGGTGGACCTGCAGTTTGCTCCTCAGCACCTCCTCCTGGGCGCCCAGGACAGACAGGGCCTGAGCACCTGGCTTCCTCTGACCCTTGATCTCCGTCGTAGTGCCATCGACCCCTGTCACATTTTCACCCTGACAGCTCAACGCAGCCTTCACTCGGTTCTCCGTCAGCGCCGCAGGGTGGAACTACTGCTGAGAAAACTGTCCCGCTTCTTCAACAGCTCGAGTAGCCACCACCTCTCTGTTGTTTCCATGAGGCCTGGCTCCACTGTGGTGTCCTGGTACAACTACAGCCTATGTGGCATGGGTCAGAGTAGAGTTACATGGTGCCATGTTGATCAAATACGGAACATGTGGCTGGCTATGAGATCTACAGATGGGTCAGTCAACCCTGCGTTCAGAGAGGTGATGCTCCCAGAGTTCCCTGTCACTAAAGTTGGGCCTGTGAGCTTTAGACGAGACTGCTTCACCACTACTTCTACCCCCATATTTGAAGGATCTACCCCTGCTATCCACACTACCCTGACTTCAAGTTCAGGCACCAACACTTCCCTCAGTCCCAACTCCAGTACCTGCGTCTCTACATCTCCAACTATCACCACCACCTCACATCAAACAACCCGCTATCAATGGATGGCCGGCATGTTTACAGCCCTCCTCATTGTCTGTATTCTCATTCTTATCGTCGTCCTCGTTGCCACAGTCCTTTATTTCTGCAAAGGTCGCGGGAGGTCAAGAACGGTCACCATTTGGCCTGCAAGCAGAGTGCTCTCAGTTCAAAGCAGGGATCTGAGAGCCATAAGACCGAGGCGTCCTCCGATATTCCAACCTGAACTGCCTCCACCACCGCTCAGACTGTGGATCAGCCTTTCACAAGGCGATGAGGTTCGATTCCCTTCAACACGTGAGCAAGAAGGTAAAACAGCTGACAAGGCGTTACAGCCTCGCCCTCCACGATATGAATTTTCGAATATCTAACATCGAAACAAAAGAGTCTATGTAAACATTTTGAACAAGCATGTACACCGTTCCCCTTTGACATTCTGCTTTGCATTAAGCTCAGTTCCTAAAATGTTCTCAGGGACCATCAGGGCAGTTTTATGTGTAAATGATTAAAAACTGCTGCAACTGTTTACGTGTACACCTGTTAGTCAGTCATTCTGCAATGTTTCCCAATTACAAGAACTTGTCAGCTTTTTTGACTTAGATCAATTAGATCTTATTGTTTTGAAAGAGCACAGCAATAATTCTAATTTAACACAGGTGCAATGGATGTATAATTCATATGGAAAAATTAAGCTCTCTTTCAACTTTGAAGGTTCTTTTTTTTGTCCTACTACAAGTTAAGAGGTATTTCACTGCTCGAAAGATGTCTGTTCATAAAACTGTCCTGTCTGTGCAGAAGAAAGATGCAAATAATTCTGGAACTGGTGCTATATGACCAGAGAAAACAGAGGAAAAGGGCTGTGGCATTCACTTTTGCTCAAAAAGCACCGGACCAATAAATGGTAGCGCTGGTGGGTTATGCACTTTTTCTTTTTACTTGCAGTAGGTACTGCAGCTGCCCTTAAAAAGTATGTACTGTTGCATACTACTGTCTCACAATGTTACGCCCTGAACTTTGACCCTCTTGCTTTTATATCTGTTACCTTGGAGATAAACAAACGCCCTTACCAAGTTCACTGAAGACTGAGATCAACTTTAGTTTAACTTTAAAGTTATAACAGCACAGATTGTAGATTCTAACATATATTTGCAACAGTGAAATTACATCTGCAGTTTTTTGTCATTGCTATTTTTATAGTTATGTCCTTTTGTTGTTCGTGATATTTAAACAGTTTTTTTGTTTACTTTAACAATTAATATTCCGATTGTTACCATTTGACTGGTCATTAGTTACTTGTATGCGCTGTTATCTGCCATTGAGACTACTGTCAGCTGTCTGCAGCTCAGTCAATGTAATGTATCGTCCGCTGCGCAGAGGATTGTGGGTCAGAATTGCCAGTGTCGTAGGTCGTAGAACATCCTGGTATTTTTGGCATACTGCATTTGACATACTATGTATTGGGACATACTAAATCTCTCTCTGGTATGCTATATAGTATGGTAGTGTGGGTATCGAATGCACAGATACTGTGTGTTTCCTGTCCAGAAACAATATGGTGGCTCGCTGGTAACAAAAAAAAAAACTCATATTACACTTAAACAGTACACTAAAATATGAGTGTTGTTTTATATTTGATCAGCACTGCCTAGTTTTACTGTTTGAATTGTTTTCTCAGCCTCCATTTACAGGAAATGTAAAGGCACTTCCTGTTAACAAATTCTCGCATTACAGCCAAACAGTACACTAAAATAGGTAAAATTTTAAGTGTGAAATATGCAATACAGTAACAGATTCTTGGTTTTATATTTTATCACACTGCCTAGTGTTACTGTTTGTTTAAGGTTTAAGAGGGAGAGGGGCAGATCTCTCTCTTGATTTGCTTCATACTCTTTGTGTCTTAATGCCAAAGTACAATCTGTAGTTAAAGCAGCAGCTCTAGAGCCAGCAAAAATCCACCGCATTTGATATGAGCTGGGAGATGAGCAGGGAGATCTGGGCTCTGGCGAGATGGAGGGAAGTTTACCACAGCGTTCTGATACAAAGCTGGTTTAAAATCGTAGTATCCCTTGAATGACACAAGACAACAAAATGCATCACTTCCACATTCAACACCAACGTTCTCTATTGACGGCTTTTATTTTGTTACACAGCATATCTACAAAACCATGAGTAAAAAAATTTATAAATTCCTCGTTAAGAGTTCACTGTCTATTTTATCTGATGTCCTTGTTCGGGGGTGTAAGGTAATATCCAAGTCTGAAAAAACACAGTGGTCCAAAATCTCATCCTTGGCAGGGGTGAAGCAGTGGATCCGTGGAAAAAACATCATCTGGAGGCCTTTCCGTTTTCGTGAACGTCCATCCTGTCAGTATAGGAAAACAATTTGGACACATTTAATATGAAGGGGAATGTTACGCCCATGAAGTGACACATGACTGATTTTTCACACACACCCATTCTCGTCTTTGAGGTGCTGGTACAACTCAAACTTGTCGTTGACGGAGCTCGCTCTTCCAACAAACTCTTGGTGCTTCCTGGAATTGGCTGCAGTGATGCGATTGCTCCACATGGTGAGGAGCGAGACAGGACCTGCGGCAACAGCGAGACAAAACCACAGATAAAAAAACACATACTCAGATGATGTCATCAGCTGGCATTGGCAGGAATAATGCTGCGTTCAAGACAACTCAGCACTGAAATTCAGATGCAGGACAGGAAGTGATACACTAAATCGAATTGATAAATCAAATCAATAAGTGCACATTGTAAAAGGCAACGTAAAGTATATATGCATCTATATTATCAAACACTATCATGTAGTAAATCCTGTTCTGCCTGTAAATTGATGTAAAAATGTGTGTCCAATGATATTTGGGAGCTGTGTTCCAGTAAACAGTCTCTTTAGGACATAAGAAATGCCTCTGTTCTGTTTATATATGCCAGGAGGCTGCGCTGCTGAGAGGTCAACTGCGCTCCCTCTTGCCAAAGAAACATCAGTTTGTCACAGACAGCCATGTTTTAAGCGTACGTTTGGCACTGTGCACTTGAACATTTGGAGGTTGGAAATTTCAGCTGGGAAATTCCGACTTCCTACTTTGACTGGAGCTCTCATTGGTGCAGGCTCATCTACAGATAATTATGTGCTTGTCTGCCACTTATCTGGTCAGTTTGTCTGTGATTTCTTGAGGTGGTTTTAATTCTAAGCAGAAAAAGTATGATAAAGGTTGGGACCTTTCGCTCTCTCCTGAGGCTGAACCTCCTCCGTGAGGAGCCGCGGCTTCTTGTTGAGCGGCTCCGGAGAGTCCGGGGAATCTTTGATCACCTCCGACTCCGGCTCTTCTTTATCCAGCAGACCCTTTAGTCTTCAGGTTGAAAACAAAAACAGTGCAGCGTGAGAAAATAGAAACTTGAGCGACACATCCCATCCAAAAGCCATGGTAAAGATTCTGACCTCTCCGACTCCTGCCAGCTTTTGTCCTCTGCGTCCTTGCTGCCATTTTTCTCCACCCTGTCTTCCCTCTCCTCCCTCTTCCTCCCTCTCTTCTTCCTCTCCTCCTCCTCGGGGGGTTTGCTGCGGCAGGCAACGATGCAGTCCAGTACCCGCTGGTGTCTGTCTGTGGCTCCGGCGTGAGTCTTCACTAATGTCTCCAGCTCGTTCCACATGATACGATACTGCTCATCTCTGCGAATGTCAGCAGTGCAGAAACATTAGTGCCTATACTGTTTGCTTACATGAACTGTGTTGTTTATTTTTGGGATGAATACCTCTTGGGGCCTTTGCCTCGGGATCCCACGGTGGAAATAGGGAGCGGGTCGTTTTTCCTCTCCATGTCTACCAGGTTGTAGACTGTCTTCTGGCAGGTCAAGACGTCCTCCTCAGATAAAGTCTCTTTCACTATCAGGTTAGCTAAAGGAACCACCTGGTGAAGGAAAACAGGAAGTTACACACACAGCAATGAAGGATGATGACGTGGGCCAACAAAAATACAGCATACCCAATGGGGAGATTATCTTTTATGTGTAGATTTTATCAGGAAACAATGAGTCAAATATTTTGGGGCGTGGCATAAGCTTCACTTTGAAGAGTGAAATCTAGAACTACAGTATCTCTGCTCACTGCCTGCATGTTGAAAATGGTGGTCTGGGAGATGATCATCGGCCAGTATCGCGTGTGGCGTTCCAGCTGAGCTTTGGCCCTCTCAGCTGGTAGCTTCCCAGAGGGATCATGGGAAGACTCTGGAACAGGAGTGAGCCGGTTCTCCCTCATGAATTCACCAAAATCCTAAAAACAGAGGGAAAAAATAACAGTTACTATTTGCAGATTATTATTACTGTACTCTCACACAGCTGGTGTGGGCTGAACGTACAGTGATGCGGTAGTCTGTCACTCGGCCTCCACAGCCCTCGCTGATGGAGGGTGGGTCCTCCAAGATGGAGCGGTTGCTGTTGAGCACGTGCAGGAAGATCTCGCCTCCGTGGCTGCTGAGCATGTGGCTGATGACCTTGGACCCCGACTTCCTCGGCTGCTCCAGCAGCACCGATCGACCTGTGGTCAATTAAGAGAAGTCAGAACAGTTAGTCTGCAGGTCAACTCAGGCGAAGGAAACATTGGTGGTCACAAGTAAATGCACAGGCTACAGTCAGTTAAGAGACTATATAACTGAGAAGAGGGTTTATCCAGCTTACCGTTGAGGAGAAAGTTTGTTAAACATGACGAGGGACGACTGTTTACGTCTGTGGGGGAGATGCGATAGGCTCCTGTACAGTAATGCAGCTCTGGTGGGGAAATATAAACACACAAATAGATGCAGCTAAATCAGACATCTCAAATCATGGGTGTGGCAGTGCTGCCATGAATAACGCTAGTGCCATGGCAGCATGGCAGTGCAGTGGTTAGCATCGTCGCCTCACAGCAACAGGGTTCCTGGGGGGAGTCTGCATGTTCTCCCTGTGTCAGCGTGGGTTTTCTCCAGGTACTCCAGCTTCCTCCCACAGTCCAAAGACATGCAGGTTAACTGGTGACTCTAAATTGTCCGTAGGTGTGAATGTGAGTGTGAATGGTTGTCTACAAATGTCTGAAGGGCTAATGCTGAATGTCTTTTCCTAAATTTAGAACCATTTCCGCATGAGAACCAGTTCGAAATAGACCAAACCACAAGAATCATAAGCCTCCAAGCTTATCAGTTCCTTTCATCAATGCCAGCATGTCTGCACATTGCAAAACGATGACATCAAAGTCATGCTTCTACACTGCTGGAAATCTCCAACAACAAGGAGCCACCGCAGAGCAGGAGTAACAGGTCAAAGTGTGGCTTTGTTTTACGAAGAAAGACGACAACATCTCTGCCTGAAATGTCTCTAAAATGAAATCAAGTAAAGAGGGAAACACCAACAATATGCTGCAACATGTTTCTAAGCAACAAGGGCTTGAATTCCTGGAATGCTATGTATGTGACACTGCACACGAGTGCCACTGCTTCCTAACCGAGCAGGATGTCTGTTATCCAGGGTAAATATTCTGTGTTGTAGTAACAGGCAGACTTAACAGTTGAACAGTGAAGCTTTTGTACACGAGTTACTTGCCTTTCTTCTACTCTGTCTCTACACTGTGTGCAGAGATAATAAAACAGTTGAATTGACGCTGAAAACCTGTGAAGGCCTTTTTCTTTACCACAGAGAAAAGTGATCAGGAATCAATAAGGGAATCGCAGTGTAAAGCAGAATTGATAATGACTTTGGTAACAGTTTCAAAAATATAACACCCAGAGGGGCAAAGAGGGAAATATTTTCTTCTGAATTCTGTTTAAAGTCCAGATAAAACAATATTTCTGGAGTACCTAGCTTCAGTATTGCGACATATTTCCGAGTGAAACGGGACAGACAGGTGGAATGTAACGCCGAAAGAAATCTGATTTGATCACTAAAAAGTAGGCGTGTCTTAACAGATATGGAGAGACCTGATGGTGTACGCTGACAGGATAGCAGTAACCATCAGGGTGAAACGGAGCCCACTGTATGCTCCATGTAGTTACTGAGGCAGTTTACTGGTATTTGCTTACATACGTGCATGTTCTGTTTTGGGTGGGGGTGCAGAAATTGTTAAATAGGTGCACAACATGACGAGGGACGTAATCTCAAGGGGTTAAAAAGCGTTTTTCATTTCATCTCAACTGTCAAGCTTAAAACTTTTCAAAATAAATAAAAATTGTAAAATAAGAAATTCAGCAAATTGTGCTCACCGACGCTGTTGGTGCGTGGAGTGCACCATTTCAGTGTGATCGTCTCTTTGAGTCCATTTTCTCGAGTGCTGGTGCCGGCCATGTGCAAGTCTCCTGCACGACACAAAGGTGAGATATGTACTGTTAATTTCTGATAATGAATTAAGGCTTTACAAAAACATTAAAGGAATACCTCACCCCCCCCCCAATGACCATTTGTGTATTAATTAGTCGTGCTGTGTTACCTTAAATACATGATGTTGTTAAACGTGGTCCCCAGTCAATCAATAATTCGCAGTTTTTCAGTGGAGCAGTCTTTACAAACTCAGGGTAACACGGCATGACCGATTTACAAATGGTCATGTTGTGGGTGAAGTGTTCTTTTAAGCATACATATAAGCATCAAGGATGTCATAAAGGATCTGATTTCCCAACATTTTGCTCATAATGTAAACAATAAAAACTACTTTGAGCACAGGTAAATTTAGTTTGAGGATTGTTGCCTTGTATGCAACTCAAATGTGGATTTCTTTCTTTTTTTACTCACCACTTTTAAAGAACTCCAGGTGAGCGTCTCTGTGATGCAGGAGCTCCACATCATAGTTGGCCGATGTGTTGGCGTGCTGCTCTTCCTGTCCATCCGCAGAGACAACAACACACACAGGTCAGCATGAGGTCAGCTCTTTAAATGTGCTAACTAATAACATACACACACACACACACACACACACACAAAAGCACAAACACACATTAACACTGCTGATTTCATGTTCCACTGGGGAAATGATAATGAACAAAGTAAAAGAAAAAAGCTCTCTGGGTGACTTATGAATGTTTTTCTTCTAGTCCCATCAGAGACTTGTGTTTAACGCAAATGTCCTTAAATTCTAATACCGAGGTGACACATATATCATGGACTCCTGATCTTACAAACCCATTACAGTTAGTTTGGGCACAAGCTCAAAAATGGGGCCTGGCAGCTGCTGATCTAAAAACAAACTTTGAATTTGACGACTTTCTACGATTAGAAAAATCAGTTTTAGTACAACTAAGGGTGGAACCATGTTTAAACATTTAAAGGTCAGGTTTAAAGGACTAGTTCTCCAGACAGCACAATGGACCACACCAAGACACTAAAGGGGAAAATGAGTGGGAACTGATGGGGAAACAGAGACCAGGGGAAAGTTTGGACAACTTTTAAGGTGTAAACACCTGACAGACACTGACAAGTGTTAAATAACTCAGAAGAGGCAACGCTGGTCAAAAATATTTGGACATAAAAACAGCTAAAAACTGTCACAACAGACAAAAAAATGTTCATTTGCCACAACAATTTGAATTCTTTTAAATCAAATGGTGAGTCAGTGAAGTTATACCATTATTTAATTCAAAACAAAGTTAATTTCAGGTGTGAAGAGCCCAAACTCTGCATCCCCTAGGTGTCCACATGAGACCAGAGTTGCCTGTCCATCACTGGAGCCTCACCAGCAAATCTTTAGACCAACTGTCACATCAAAACAAATTAATGACACTGTAGGTCTGTTGCAGCATCAGAGCTCCAAACATACACTGGACACTATGTGGTGTAAGCTCTCACCCTTCCTCACTTTGATGTGTGTGTGATAAGAGTACTAACCTGGTCGCAAACATTTAATGTGGGCTAGCAAAACAGAAAATACAGCATGAAACCAGCAGCAGATTCACAGTCAAATCAACATGCAGATGAGATAAACAAAAAGATGTAAAGTCTCATGGGTAATTAAACAGTGAGGAAGGGCTCATACGTAAAGATTAAGCAAGCAAAAAAATAACGTGAAGGCTGTGAGAGAGCAAGGAAAATAAAAAAAGAAACAAGTAAAAAGAGGGGATGGTTCACTGCATTCTGGACATGACAACATTTTTGTACTAACAAAAGAAAAATAGATATATTTATGTGAGTTTTTAAGTTTGGCAAGGCATGTGCAAGGGCAGATGGAGGGTAAGGAGCCTCTTACCTTCATGGGGATGTTTGTTATGGTGGTGGAGGCCAAGTCAAAGTGCTGCTGAACCAGAATGTTGAGTTTGGTGGCCAGGTGCCGCCCCGCACGAACGCTGTGAACCTCGCTGGTGAGCAGAGGGGAGATCTGAGGCGAGAGAAGAGAAGGATGCAGTGAGAACTAACAGCTGTGATGCGCTGCTATTAGATGTGGTGTGGTGTTAAACCCAGCATTAGGTGTCATGTTTTCACCATGTGGCAACAACCGGGGCTGAAAAATGAAGCCAACTAGGAAGTGCCACTGCAGTGTAATTAGCATCACGTCCTGCATCCTGCACCCTCTACTCTTCCTCTAAACCATCTCCACCCTCTCCTCCAAATATGGTCACTTCTGGCTCCAAAAATCAACCCCACGTATCAGTCTTCCTTATAAGCACCTACCTCTTTTTTCGCTCGGTCAGACACCAGCGTGTCCTCGCCCTGCGGGTGGATGTGAACTAGAACCAGGTCACACTGCTGGATGGCCATCAGCCTGAAACACGCAACAATGAGGTGGAAATAACAGAACAAATCTACCAGTCATTCATCAACTTCCCACAAGTGAGGAATTGCTGCTGTGACACTGTGGTGTCACATATGTATGAGGGAATTATTTATACTGTATTTCAGCCATATTTAATCCATCAATCAAACAATAAATATCATTCATCTGGAACTGACCTGTCTGAGCCTGCCGCCAGCTTGTTTTGTTCTAAAATAGTTTCTTGGATGCAGTCTTCCAACATGCGCACATGAGTGTCACTGTGTGATCAAACACAAAAAGAGGAGTGTGTTAGCAGAGTCTAAAATGATATAACACACACCAAAAGCTTGTTTTATAAAATTAATAGGGTAAATGATGACCATAAAATAAGAGCATACATGAAAACATACAAGTACAATAAAGTGATAATACAGAGTTGCTGAGCCGACGGCGGCTGTTTTTCTGCCATGATAATGAATGTTTACCTTTTCGCATTTGTTAGGCAGATAATTCGACCCCTGTTAGCGACTCTCTCAGCCGTGTCCATCAGAGTGGTGCGCCTCTCGTGCTGCAACTCTGTGATCTTGCATAACGACTCCACCGCGGCAACAAGCCCGTGCAGGATGCTGCAACACTCGGGGTCCTCGCGTGGGTTGGGTGGCCCAACAGCCGCCAGAGCTGACATGAGCTGCCAGAGAGGAGGAGAAATGGCATCGTCACAGTTCAAATCCAATTCTGAAGAAAACTTGTGCAAGCATGTGGTTACTGATGTTTTTTAGAAATGCTGCACTTCTCCAAAATGTGGCAAATTAAAGCAGAAAAGACAGTAAAATGCAGTGAGAGTCACTGAAGGACATGCCGCACTGTACTGGGGTTAAAGGTACAATTGTTACGGTGAGAGTGAATTTTTGTGTGGAGTGGATTACCTCGTGAGTGCTCTGGTCTTCCTGCCTCCAGCTATTCAAGATGTGGAACTCTGAATCACTCACGATGTAATTAATCTGTAAAATAAAGAGGTGGCAGAAAATGTTAATATAACCACTTTGATTAAAACCTCCTCAGCACATGATACATTAGGTTTCTGCTAACTGACCTCAAGTGTCTGTGTCGACAATTTCACACTTGATTAGTTACATCACTCAGGTGAAACCAGTCTGACCTAAATCATTCCAGCCCAGGCTGAAAACAAAAACCAAGAAGCTAACCAGTTTGTGCAGGGGATAGACATCGTAGAGGATCCGGCAGTACTCCATGGAGCACTCCACAGCACAGGTCCACAGGGACTTGGACACGGGGGCCAGAGGAATAACCCCTTGAGCTCGACTCTTTGTCAGCACATCACACTCCACCTGCTGACGACTCGACTCTGCCATGTAGGGACAGTGGTCCACCACGAAGACCGTCTTGTGAGACACTGAGAACATCTTCATTTTGCAAATCTGCAGTGTCAACTGATCTGTAGGGATAATGAAATAAAAAATACACAAGCGTGAGATTTAAATAGATGTTGTAAGCATGAAATCTGCATGACAGCAGTCACATTTTACATTTAACTGTTTTCCCCCCTCTAGTCAATAAATGTTCAGTGATTGCAGTTTACTCTAAAGTAATATAATTACTAACATTTACTACATTTTTGACATCATAATTCACTATCAGTCTGGAAAGTAAATGACACTTTTTGAGGTACACATTTCAATTGTTCAGTGATACCCCTTTTTCCACCAAAATTAGCGTGTGTACGCTGGTTTTTTAAGCACACTATAACCAACTAAAAATAGGCGATAGACTCTTTTCCCATTGCCAGGACACTAGAGCTGTGAACAGGGCTTTGCAGTAAGGAATGTCACCTTCAACGTCAAGGACAGGCCGGAAAACAGATTAGTAAACAATAGAAAGCAGCATGGAGGCCAGTGAAGATGTTACAGTGGTTACTTCTTTTTTTATATCTGTCACTTGTTCAGTCAATGTTGCTGCTTGGGCGGAGACGGACAGTATTATGTGGTTGCGCATTATTGCATCTCACCGGTAAAGGAGCTCAAATTGGCACCCGGATGCTGTATTTCCATTGCTGCCAGTTGGAGCCAGAGCTCAGTGGGAAATGGGCTTGATTAAGATGTGTAGTCTCAGTGTCAATAAGGTGCCAAAATGCATTAAGAAAGGAGCCCCCTGGACCCCTTACACAGGTCCAGGCTGAGCCCTGAATGTCCTCAACCCTAGAAACGCCCCTGCCTGTTCTCATCATTAACATGTACGGTTAAGGAATGGTTTAAAATTGTTGCAGGTGGTTGATATAAATAAACTGCAGTGTTCAACATATTTTAGTACTGCCTGATGGTGTGTGAATGTCAGCTCACCTGGAGAAAAATCTTGTCAGCGGAAGGCTTCCCCGGTCAGGAAATGATCTGAACCGGCTAACAAACAGTGGTTCTCTCTTTAGGTCAAGTTTTGGTTAATAAACGGATTATCTAACTACCAAACCAGACACCTAATCCGTCTCAGGATGCCATTTACCAGTAACTCCAAATCGTTAGCAAGCTAACGTGACTACTTGCTAGAGGAGCATGTCGCTGACCACCGCGTTAGCATTTGGCTAACGCTAGCCGGAATCATTTGTTTGCTGATTCACGTTTATTATCAGCTGCATACTCATTTGCCCATTATGGCATTTGTGTAATACTAGACTGGATGTTTTCTATTTAATCCACCCCCAGGTGATCATTACCTAATTATTTCATACACTTGGAATGTCTAACACAGAAAATAGACTTTAAGCCGTAGCAAGCTAGCAGGTTTGTTATTGGCGGAAATGTGTCCTGTGATGTTCCGTCACCGTATTCCTTCCCCTACTTGCTGGGCCGCACGGTTAAATGGTTCCTTACCGGATTTGTGACTCTAGCACTCAAAAATCTAAACTTTAGATTTTACCTGTTATACAGCAACAGGCTGAAAATTTATGAGATATTGAATTTAAGCCAAATATGTTATTATTATTACGGGCAGAAAATAGATGAAGTTTTTTTTAAAGTGGAATTTGTTTGAGGTACTTATCCATAGACAGTGTATTACATACAGGAGATTTCAGTTGGCCAGGTGAAGAAGAGAATTGTCACTGCTTCACCTCAATATCAGACAGTGATTTCCAATAGGAAAATTATGCTGTTATATTGTTCTCTTTAGAGCCAGACTCCATTGAGAAAAACAGTGATTTAACATTGCTGAACACAGGAGCTGGTGGTCTGCTACACCCTCAGACAGTAAGCTGGTTTGTGTTATTGTGTAACTTTGGCATTACAATAACACGAACTAACTAACTAATTGAAGCAATAGTAGACCAGCAGCTCTGTGTTCAGCAAGCTAAAATTGTTTTTGTCAATGGAGTCTGGTGGATTTGACCAGAACATAAATGGGAAACGAGACGTCTGATGGTAAAGGTAAAGCAATGAAAATAATCTCAATATAGCATACACTTAAACTGACATTGATTTTTTTAGGAGGCGAAAATATGTTTTGTCACAGCAGTAGATACTTATCCAAAGTAAGTGTATTACAGTAAATGGTAAATGGATGTGCACTGGTACAGCACCTTTTCTAGATTTCAGACCACTCAAAGTGCTTCATACACTACGAGTCACATTCATCCATTCAGATTCAGTAGATGTCAGTCAGCACGTCCCCGGTTTGGAGAAGCAGGCTGGAGTCTGACATGAAAGCTGTAATGTACTGCTGTGGAGGGGTCAGCAACTAAAACATGTCCCACCAGAAAAACAATCAGTATCAGTTTAACTATATGCTATATTGAGAGTATTTTCACTGCTTTACCTTCCCATCAGACAGCCTGTTCCAACAGGAAAGCTGTTAATGGCTTCAGTTTGCCATCTATGCTCTGGTCAAATCCACCAGATTCCATTGACAAAAACAGCAATTTTAGCACACCAAAAACAGGAGCTGCTGGTCTACTGCTGCTTCAGTTAGTTAGTTTGTGTGACTCTGTGACTTTGGTGAGTCTGAACTAACCCTTTTAAAAACCAAAGTCACACAGTCACACAGAGATGTAAAATCACTGTTTTTTTCAATAGGCTCTAAAGAGAACAATAAAACTGCTTCATTTTCCCATTGGAAATCACTGTCTGACATTAAGGTAAAGCAGCAACAGTACTCTCAAAATGGCATACAATTAAACTGACATTGATTTTTTTTTTTTTTTTTAGGTGGGACCTTTCCCAGGAGGCTACAATATATTTTGTTGCTGACCCCTCCACAGCAATGCTTATCCAAAGTCAGCATATTATGTACAGTAGATGTCAGTCAGCACACCCCCCATTTTGGAGAAGCAGGCTGGAGTCTGATGTGGAAGCTAAGTAATGTACTGCTGCAGAGTGGTCACCAACTAAATGAGTTTTAGCCACCTAAACACACTTTACCTTTCCATGAGACAGCCTGTTCCAACAGGAAAGCTGTTAACGGCTTCAGTTTCCCAACTACAGTATGTGCTTGTGAAATCCACCAGACTCCATTGAGAAAAACAGCAATTTTAGCTTGAATACTAGAGCTGCTGGTCTACTGCTGCCTCAATAAGTTAGTTGGTTTGTGTTATTGTGTGACTTTGGTGAATCTGAACTAACCCTTTTAAACGCTAAAGTCATACAATAACACAAAGTGACTAAGAGTTTGAGGCCGTAGCACACCAGCAGCTCCTGTGTTCAGCAATGTAAAATCACTGTTTTTCTCACTTTTTTTTTTTTTAGGTGTCTATAATACATTTTGTTGCGGACCCCTCCACAGCAGTACATTAGCTTCCATGTCAGACTCCAGCCTGCTTCTCCAAACTTGGGTGTGCCAACTATAATACACCATCTATGTCACAACTGAACCTGAATCTGAACCCAAATGCACAACTCAGAAACGGATTAAAGTGCAAATAAACAATCTTTAATTTCAAAGTAACAAAGGAAAATCGCTCATACAGAGGAAAATCTAAAACCAAATCAGAATAACAAAAAATCACTCTTGCGAGGAAAACAACAAGGATCGAGAAAAAGGCTAGATAAAGTATCAAATTAACATAAAACTAGACAATGGCAAAAGCTGAGCAAAGTATCAAAAGAATACATAACCTGATAAATCATAAATGGACATGGAGGACCTCAGACTTGACAAGACAAGACGAACTGGCACAGGACAAAGGGAAACACAGACTATATGTACCCACACACACAAGGTAATGGGAAACAGGTGGAAACAATCAGGGCAGGGCAGACAATCAGACCGGTGGGAACACACGAGAGGAAGGGGCAAGATACCTGAAACGAGAGGAGAGTTGGATGTCAAAATAAAACAGGAAGCCACGAGACAACATAGACACAAGACAGAACTAAAAATAACTAACTTAACTTCTTGGACATGACAATCTACGGAGAAGTATCCTCAACAACCCTACTTAAAAAACCTCTTTAACGTTACAGCCCGCTGCTGCATGTCTTAACGGTTGAACTTTTCCTAAATTGACGTGAGGAGGCAACACTGAGGTCAGTAAAGGCCATGATTCCTTCCGTTGATGCTGGAATGGGCAGTATTTCTATTACTTGTATTTAAAATACGTATTTCAATTACATTTGAGTATTTTGTAATTTGTATTTGATAAGGACCATAAAAAGCAAATGTAATTTGTAACAAAATACTTTTGAGTGGAGTAATTTTGTATTTTAAATACTCAAAATACTTTCTCCACAAACAGTTGAAATTCAGTCATATGTTATTATCACAGTGTCTGTGAATATTTTATTTGTTGATACAAAAAAGTTTATGGGCTGTTAAGTCTGGTTAATGAATATATATATATACATAATCAAGTTGTTGTCTTTTAATGGCTTCGCTTAGTTACACTTAGTTAGTTCTGTGACTGTTCTGCCTTTTTGTGGGATTCACCAGAGCTTTGTGTATATCCTATAGCCCAAACCTGAATACTCTGCTATACCAAATTGTGAGAAAACAAGCATAAATTTGCAATAGCTGCAACCAAATTTGCTACTATCACGCCATTAATGGATGAATCATGTTTGTTCTTTCTGGCATAGTTACTTGTGGTCTCTAATTGCAGCATGAAAATTTTGAGCATTTTTGGTCAAGGACTTTTTGAGTAGTATAGCGCCACCTATGGACGAATAATGGGCATTCCTTCTGGTATAGTTACTCATGGTCTCTGGTTGCAGTATGCACATTTTGAGCATTTTTGGTCAAGGACTTTTTGAGTTATTCACGAAAAGCTTTGTGGACCGACCGACCAACTGACAGCCCAATGTTCCCACAACCCTGTGTTCCCACATTTCCTTTTTCATAAATTTGTATCAGATTTTATCCCCCTTTCTCCCAATTTGGTAGCCAGTTACACTCTACCTATTATCCAGTAGCAATGGGGGAGGATAGGGCTTAAATTGAAGGGAAATGTAGGAACACAAGACCTAATTTTGAAAGTGTCCTAGAAATGTGGGAACATAGGGTTTAATTTTGAGAAAAATCTTAGAAATATGGGAACTGTGGGAACATAGGGTCTAATTTTGAGAAAAATCTTAGAAATGTGGGAACATAGGGCTGACCCCACCTATAGAGCTGCGGGTTGCTGCTAAAAAGAGAAAGAAAATTTTTTTTTCTGTATTTGAAAATACAAAATACATGTATTTTATTTTGATACATTTTCTGGCACCAGTATTTTATATTTTATTTTGAGACAAATATTTGAGGGGTATTTTGTATCAAAATACATTTTGATGTCTTTCTACTCATCTCTGGCTACCTGAATGCCAAACATGTCAAACAGACGTGAGCTAACGTTAGCTTAAAACATTCGGTTTATCAAGGGGAATATTAAGTATATGTAAAATATAAAGCTGCCAAATTAAGTTATTTAAACAGCTAACTTTTAAAGGAAAGTAGGGGGCGTAACTTGATCTGTCAAACGCGACTGTACTACATCTACGCCCTCCTTCTTCACAGCTCCTCCGCCTCCTCCGACCCCACCCGTCTGCTCTCCATTCTCTCAAGTCACAACTTGAGCAAAACTTTCTGCGACCGAGTCCATGTTGGGAAATACAGCAAGAATGCGCGGAGGACGGGGCTGTGCTTTAAAGCTATTGTAATATACAGTAGATAGATAAAGTTTGTCTGCTGCGGGTGATGTGAGAGGACCCCCCCCCACACTCCAACAAGGACTATGAGCAATAACGACATCTACGAGATGGACTCCGTGTGTGAGACGGAGGACTTGGAGGGGGATTTTGAAATGAGCATGATAGACGAGGAAGTTGGTAAGAAGACAGCTTTGTTTGTCGCAAGAGGTTTGTTGTGTCGATGTGAATGTTGCGTGGGTTTATGGGCTCTGTGTGGAGTTTGTCTCAGTGTACACGTGATAGGAGAAATACAAGTAGTGGGACAGTTAGCACCCACTCATTCATCACTGGTTTGTTCTTAGTTTGAGCAGTGATGCTTTGATGGGAGCAACTTTTAAAGTGGTGCACCATCATTAAGTACGTTTACTTTTATGATATACAAGTGCCACAATGAGATACTTGCACTTTAGGAGCATTTTCATTTTCTCCAACTTCATTTTGCGCCCCAAAATTCAGATGAAACACTAGCTTTCACTCCTGTGCATTTATTTGAATTGAATCACTGGTATGAACAGTGATTTTTACATACAAAACATATGGTCAGTCTGTAGGCCATTTAATGTTAGCTTCAGCCAATAATAATACCTGATATTACAACACAGACATGCACCATTTTGTTGCCTAATGGGTGCTTTTACCTTTGGTGCATTTTGGTGCCAATACTAATGCATTTAGACTGCAATACTTGGACTTAAAACTCTGATTTGGCCCTGTTTTAAAATGTATGATCAAAGATGTCTATTGGACACAAATACATAATTTCCCCATTCTGCCATCATGACACATGATGATTTGTCATCTCTAAATGCCAGATGACAATATAGAAGCAAATAATGACTAGTATAGGAGTCTGTTCAACATTCATATCATGCATGCAGGGCAGAACAACTGTGGGGGGGTGTGGTCGCACATTTCCAAGAGGGCACCATCTTCCCACCGCCATTTCTGCAACACAAATTAATATGATTAACAGATGTTGTGCAATCATGACTTTAAAAGAAACCGCCCCAAAACAGCCAGAGTCTTTGTTGGGCTCCTCAAAGGCTAGATTGCATCTCTCCACACTCTTTTGTGTCTTGCATTTCTTACATTCCACCCTGACGCTACAAACCGAAACAGCAACTTAAATTTTGAGTGAGTACATTGTTGGAAACCTGCAGGGTTTGCACAGCTGTCAGCTCCCACGCTTGTATCTTACAGGAATGAATTCCCAATCTATACGCTCCTTTGAGTCTTGTCCACAATGACATAGTGTCTAGTATTGTATGCTGTTTTTGTTACTCACAACTCAGTGAGGAATAAATGGTCCTTTGGGGTTAACTTTAATAGCAGTAACATCTTATGGCCCTGATCATATGGAAATTACAGATGCATCTCATGCTGGATCACAAAAGGCATGCCAAAGTGCACTCTCTTTAATGGAGCCTATGTTCAATTGTTATGAATAATTAATGGTCACACTCTGTTGCCCCCCCCCCCCCACACACACACACACACACACACACACACAAAACTCCACTTTGGTGCAGCTGTTTATGTTAAAAACAAAATATGCTTGTCTTCTGTTTGTTTGCTCTGCCTTTAATGGTTTCTTGTGTTGTCATGGAAGATGTTCTCTAGAGAGCAAGTGAGCGCGGGATGGGTGGGTTGTGGCAAGACAGCAGATTTTTATTGCCGACAGCTTGTGGGCATTCGGCGTGCGTTTGAGAAGAATCAGACCGACTGACTCACTGTAGGTTTCGTAACGGTGTTTCTGGCGGGTTTAATGACTCAGGAGCCGGTGCACATTTTATTTATTTGACACACCGACTCGGTGACAACAGAAAATAAACATCTAGGTACCACAGTGTGGACTCCATTCAGCAGCAAAACTAAAACACATGAATGCAAAGCAATTGAGGATTTATGCTTCCCTTTGAAAGCATCATGTGATATTACAGTGATGGTACCATTTGCAAGGTTAAAGGTCAGTGTAAAAAAAAATGGATAAACAGCCACCCATTTATTTATAAAGATCTTGTATCTGTCCTTCTTTCTCACAGATGACAGGAGTCAGATATTAAAAAGCCAGGCTGTTAGATGCCAGTAAATTACTTATTGGTTTACATCTAAATAAGAATAGCCTGAGGCACAGTCATTAGTTATTATTATTCATTTGTCATTGGTTCACCAGCACGTCTCTCATGTCAAAATACTAACAGACTTTCTAGTATAACAAGCTTTGTTAGAGTACAGACTGTTAGCCTGGTAGAGGACTTTGTCAAAGGGAAGGTCTCATTTGATTCTGACTCCACAGTGGAGTCTCCCAGCATGTTACTATGGCCAGTGTTTGGAAAACAACATCTGTCTTCAGTTAGTTTTGTCATCAGCACATTGCTTTATGTGGAAAGACTACAGGACTTTCCCATATTGGATGTAATATTATCTGTTATAAAAAACAAACATTTATAATGCATCTAACAATGCATACAGTGGTTAATAATGTTGTTTTTGATTGTTTATTAATGATGTGGTGACTGTGAGTGCAGATCTCTTAATGGACATTTGGGAAAACACTACGCTGTCAGTGGGCACAGTGTTGACCACACTGCAGTGAGTGGTGACCTATTTCTTGCCTCTTTCCAGGGAGGAATATAGCACTGTGGTGTGTGGGCAAGTGTGTGCTGACTGTAAAAAAAAATGCAGTTTGGTGAAACAGGCTCGTGACAGGAAGGTGTCACTGGTTCAAACCGTCGGACTGTTTGGGAAATGAGTAACAGTCTGTGATGGTTCAGTGAGCGCCACTGAGGTAGAACATGGGTATTCTCCTGGTCGGTGTGTGAGTGTACGAATGTGAGATAGATCAGGGGTGGGAAGAACTTTTAAGGTCAGCAGCACTTTGACTCAAAGAAAATATATATTTTCTCTTCACTGTTGTGCTATTTATCACTCTAGATTGTTTTGGAGGGAGTTGCCGAGTGTTGGAGATATCAGCTGTTGAGATGTCTGCCTTCTCTCAAATATAATGGAACTAGATGACACTCAGCTTGTGGAGCTCAAAGTGCCAAAAAATACATTTGAAAAACTCAACAGCAATGTCTCTTTCCAGATATCATGACCCAGTTACTTAAGATAATCCACAGACCTTGTTGTGAGCAGTTTCATGTGGGAACTATTTTCTTTCTACCGAACTACACCCACCAACTGTATCACTACACAGAAGGAAGCGTTGGCTATTGCTAGCTTACCTAGCACCACTGAGCTAGCTAACGTTACAGCTCAGCCAAGGGGGACGCCATCATGAGCACTAGCCTTTCGTCAAACAGTAGATGCATGCTTCCTTCTGTGCAGTGATACCAAGCCCCCAGGATCAGGGCCAGGCCTTGAAGCCAATTTTACATAGTGGCCTAATGTCAAATTACTCCATCCGGGTCCATCATGTGATGCCAGGGCGCCCAAAAAGGCTTGTCCCTGTAGACTTATATTGTGAAAGAGATGTCTGTGAGATATTGGTTACATTTTTTTGTCACAACCCCCTCAAAATGACTTTTAGGATTTTATCCTTTCGGTCTGATAGCATTTAGAAAGTCTAGAAAAGCTGTCCAATTAAATCTTTTTTATCCTTAGTTAAGTTAGCCAAGCGCTAAACTGGACGTTAGCCACCATAACTCTCTAGTGCGACCTAGTAGACCTGGATAGTGTCATACTATGGAAATTAGGGGTGGGAGTCACCAGAGGCACCAGGATACAATATTATCACGATACTATATTATTGCGATTTAAAGCGTGAGTATTGCAATAAAAAATATCGGATTTATTTTCTTCTTTGAACTGCAAATTTTGTCCCTGAAGGAAAACTTTTTTATCTAATAAAACAAACTTTTCAGTCGGTTCATCTCACTTCAGTGATTTTTATTTAAAGGGCATTTAATTTTATTGTTCTAGTAGGGTACCAAAAGTTTAATTTGTATTTCTAATTCTAATAATTTATATGATTTAAAAAAAAATGATACTTGGTGTCCATGTGACGATACGATGTCAGCATCAAAAATATCACGATACTAAGCTGTATTGATTTTTTTTTTCCCAACACCACTGAGCAACTTTCTTTTTTTTTTTTTTTTTTTTTTTTTTTTTTTTTTTTTTTTTTTTTTTTTTTCCTAAAGATATTTTTTCGGGCATTTTTGCCTTTAATGATAGGACAGCTAAGTGTGAAGGGGGGGATAGAGAGAGAGGGAATGACATGCAGCAAAGGGCCACAGGCTGGAGTCGAACCCGGGCCGCTGCGGCAACAGCCTTGTACATGGGGCGCCTGCTCTATCCACTAAACCACCGACACCCCACCACCGAGCAACTTTCATAGGAATGAACCAGACCCTGCCTGTAATGCTGTGGCCAGGTCTCAGTATATGTACGGGTGATACGGTTGGCAGGTGTAGTTTGGTAGAGAGAAAATAGTTCCTACATGAAACTGCTCACAACAAGGTCTGTGGATTATCTTGCTGGGTGCTAAAGTGGACGTGACTGCTCTGTTGTAACACAGCTTCAGGTGGACTGCAGGTAAATGTCAGCTGAACAGGATGTACGGTGATGACAGGTCCATCCCCCACAGGTGACTCAGAGCTGTGACGCATAATAATGTCCTTCGCAGGAAATGGCAATGAGTTTCAGCTGTCTATTTTGTCCGTACAGTAATAACTTCTAACAATCTTGTGCAGTATCAATAACCTCTGAAATACAATGGAATCATAGTGGCAGTCGGTCTTACAGCACATGTAGTTGTTTTTTTAGTAGCCTCAGGTGAACAAACAGTTGACAACTGGCTCAGCCAGCGACAAACAAACCTCAGCTGCCCGCAGCTTGTCACATAATCAGTGACCTTCTCTCTCTGGTGTTCACAAATAATTTGACATGTTGGTTTTTGATATGTAACAGTAGAAGTGGGATAAGTTAAGCCTTTGAACAACACATTTTGAATTATTTCTGTATTTGATAACTATGAATAAAACCACAAAACTACATCAAATTTAATACACAGCTACAGTTATGCATAAAATCACTGTCAGCAAAAGTTGAATGTGTTGCTGCATTTCCTTTTTGCATACATACATGACTATAATCATGGGCGGATTATGAGACAGTGGGGCCCTGGGCACAGATATGCAAAGGGCCCCACCACCTCTCCTACATAGGAGCAAGACACACAGACTTTGTGGTGATTTTTTTTTTCTCTTTGTAGTCATTATGTATGTATTTGTGTCTCTTTGAGATAATTTTGTGTCTTTTTTTGGTTATTTTGTGTCTCTTTTTTGTAATTTTATGTCTCCTTGTGGTGGTTTTGTGTCTTTTTCAGGTAATTTAGTGTCTGTTAGATCATTTTGTGTCTCTTTTTAGTAATGTAGTGTCTTCTTATGGTTGTTCTTTGTCTTTTTATAGTTATTTTTGGCTCTCTCAGGTGATTTTGTGTCTCTTTTTAAGTCATTTTGTGTCTCCTTGTGGTTGTTTTGTGTCTTCTTCAGATAATTTAGTGTCTGTTGGATAATTTTGTTTCTCTTTTTAGTAATGTAGTGTTTTCTTGTGGTTGTTCTGTGTCTTTTTACAGTTATTTGTGTGTCTTTTATGTCTCCTTGCAATTATTTTGTGTCTTTTTGTATTTGGTACGCATCTTTTTGTGGTTTTGTGTGTTGCTTTCAGGTAATCTAGTGTCTTTTTGATCATTTTATGGCTCTTTTTTTAGTAATTTTATGTCTTCTTATGATTGTTTTGTTTCTTTTTGTAGTTATTTGTGTCTCTTTGAGGTAATATTGTGTCTATCTTGGTAATTTTATGCCAGTGTGTAGTCATTTTGTTTCTCCTGTGTCTCTTTGAGGTAATTTTGTGTCTCTTTTTAGTTCTTTTGTGTCTCCTTGTGGTTATTTTGTGTCTTTTTTGTGCTTGTTAAATTTCTTTTTGTAGTTCTGTGTCTCTTCGTGGTCATTTTGTATCTCCTTGTGGTTGTTTTGTCTCTTTGTGGAAGTTTTATGTGCCTTAGAGGTAATTTTGTGTCTTTTTTGTCATTTTGTGTCTCTTTTCAGTCCCTTTCATGTCTCCACGCAGTTGTCTTGTGTCTTTGTGTAGTCCATAAGCATCTTTTCGTTGTTTTATGTGTCTTATTGTGGTTTTGTATCTCCTCGTGGTTGTTTTGTGTGTCTTTCAAGTAATTCAGTGTGCTTTGACCATTTTTGTGCCTCTTTTTAGTAGTTATTTGTGTCTCTTTGAGGTAATATTATGTCTTTTTTAAAAATATTTTTTCTTTTTTTATGCCAGTTTGTAGTCATTTTCTTTCTCCTTGTAGTAGTTTTGTATCTCTTTATAGTCCTATTGTGTCTCCTTGTGGTTGTTTTGTGTCTTTTTGTACTTGTTAAGTATCTTTTTATGGTTCTATGTCTCTTTGGGGTCATTTTGTGTCTACTTGTGGTTGTTTTGTGCCTTTTTGGGGTAATTTTGTGTCTTTTTTTGGTCATTTTGTGTTTTACTGAGATACTTTTTTGTCGTTTTGGCTATTTTATATCAGTTTGTAGTCATTTTGTGTCTGCTTGTGGTAGTTTTGTATCTTTTTGTTGTTAAGCTCTCTTTGAGGTAATTTTGTGTTTTATTCAGATAAGTTTGTGTGTCTTTGGGATCATTTTGTATATTTTTTCATCACTTAATAGCAATTTATAGTCATTATGTGTCTCCTTGTGGTTGTTTTGTGTCCTTTTGGTGTTTTACCCATTTTTTTTTTTACGTTTTGTATGTCTCTTGGCAGTTCCTTTGCATGTCTTTGTGGTCTTTTTGTGTTTCTTCCTGGTCCGTATGTGTTAACTTGATTGACATTTTGCAGGTGAAGGCCAGGGGTACCCCTGACACTTCGACACTTTAATGATACAATAATAACATGATAATATCAGCCTGCTATTTTACTGGAGGGGCTCAAGTAAATAGCCATGTGGTGTGGACTGTCTTTGTTTATTATTATGCCTGCATTGCCATTCATGTGTTTGGTCTTTTTGTTTTCACAGTTTACCCCGAGGAGTTTTTACCAACGTTTTACAGTATTGAAGAAGGCTCAAAAGTCGCCAAAGTGCAACTGGTGAGTCAACACAATAATGTTGGTGTCTGTACTCTGTGTATATGGAGTGTCAGCTAACTGATTGATTCTTTTAATTAAGTTTTCATACTGTCCAGGTGCCTAGATTTACATAATACCTTTATTTTTAATGATTATTATAAATATTGTCTTAAGCTTTTATCAAGGCACAATTATTTAGCCAACAGATGGCAGATATTACAGTCACTGGACCATGAGACATCAAATCACACAAAACACGCCAGACATAAAGATGCATTAAAATACCAACTCATGCATGTAATTACATAAGCTTGCAAGAGCTTTTTTAATACGCAGCGGTGTCACAAGTTTGATTGTGTGGAGAGAAAGAGAGAGAGAAGGAAAGGGCGGGTATCATATTGTTTGTTGACACTTCCCACTCTTCCTGCATGGCCCGCTTTGCACGTTATAGAGGCTGGTCAAGGTCAGCATTCAACAATATCTGTGCACAGATTCTCCACACACACACACACACACTGTCCTCTCCCTTCTCTGTTCAACATGTACGGCATCATGGAGGAGGAAGAGTACGAGTTTCAGGCCGTAGACTTAACTGACGAGCCTTGTTTTTGCCCTCAGGCAGAGTTTAATGACAAGCCGGAGTCTTTATTCTTCAACGACGGTGTCAGGAGGATTGACTTCATCCTGGTCTATGAGGATGAGGATAAGAAGGACTTTGAGAAGAGGCATACGTACCAGCGCCGCAAGGTGGGTCTCTCTCTTTTTTTGGTATAATTTTGAGCTGGATAACTCAGCAGATTATATTGTTATATTGATAAGGATTCTTTTTGCCTTTATTAGATGGCGTACATTAGAGAGATAATAGGAAGTGTGGGGAGGAAAAAGGAAGGGCCTGATATGCAGAAAAAGTCCACAGCTGAACCTGTCAGCGTCACAATTCTTTAGGCATTGAGTTTTAAAACTAAGATTCAGTAGCAGATCATTTGTCTCAATGAATGACCCACTATTTCTGTTAATAGAAGTGGAAGTTTTCTCATAAAACTTTAATTTAAAGTTATATTCACTCAGTAAAAGTCAACCACTGAAAGCATGGGTTGAATGTGATATCCCTAGGGTGTTTTATGACACACATACTCTATTGTTTCTTGCCTGTTTGTAAAGGGAGTTTTCATTTGCAGCGGGATGCCACCATGACTTTAAACTAAGCATTAGTGACCGTCTGCATTCAGCAATGTGTGCACAGGAACTTTAAAAAGGCTTTAATTATCCAGGAAACGGAACAGCTTGGCTTACATTGTTATGGTAGTGCCTTTCTTGTGCACTTCTCATTCATTCAACACACATTCTCAGTGTGAATTGCTCAATTCATGTGTTGGCTAGATTCCCAGAGGGACAAGTGGAACTTCTTCACTTCACGCAAACAAAACCTTGCAAAAAAAAGCCCTCAAATCTGATTATTCTGGTTATAAGGCTCCTTGTCTGAACTTGAACTCCGTCTAATGTTATTATCTAGCCTCAGAAATCTTACACCTGAGTAAATCAGAAGGCAAACAGCTGTTCTGGTTTTGTCTCACTGTGTATTAGTTGAGTGTCATGAATATTCAGCAGGCCACCTCTCTTACACATCACAAATCCAACATTCAGGGATCTGCGCAGGGATTTGAAGTGCACAAATTAACAACGCCGAGACTCCAGGTGTGTTGTTTGTTAATGCCAGTGCCTTTCACAATACAGTGATAGATGTGATATGTAATGCTTGTTGACTGATACCTGCAGTGTTGCAGCCGTGACTCTGCAACAAGTGGTTTTTGAAATGGAGACTGTGCCCTGCGGAGGCTGCAAACAAAATATTACGTCTTTAATGGGTGAAAAAGCTTCCTAATATGATAGATAGTAGTTTTGTTGTTTTTTCCGCAGCAGTGAATTGATGTAACGGGGTGTTGGCAGAAGAATCACGTGTAGAAGCAGATCAGCCAGTTCCTTGGAAAAAGGCTGGCAAAGCCGTTACAAGTCAGAGCTCACAAGCTTCTTCACCACAGACACACTGACACTGAGGCAATTCCTTACTCATAATCTTCCCAAGGCAAACTAGATCCAAGGAGGGATGAGGAGTGCAACAGTCTCTACCAGGCACTCCCTTGACTTTGTTTTTCCAAAGCTAAACCTGGGTCAAACACAAGTTGCAAAACCTTTCTTTCCTGCTCTGACTCTGACTGCCGGAAGGGCGTGGTTCACTTCAGATAGCTTGAAATGATGCTTTGAATATTTTAGTTTGTAGTTTAACTACATTTTTATGCACTTGTTGTATTTTCCGTTTGTCATGAAAACATCCACTTGTAAACAGGGTTGGCTAAAACAAACAGCGAGGGTATTTGACTTTTGCTCTGTCAACAGCCTCTATTCCTCAGAGTCTATAAAGGTGCCACATCAAAGTTTGTATCCATGCATAACTTATACAAAAGCTTGGAGCTATTCACTGTACCTGAGCACTTTGATGAGCTACTTTCTATACAATTTGGATATATTTAATACTTTTTTCATACTATTTCAGTGCTTTTCATGTGTTTCTTGGTTTTGGGGAAGCTGTGTTCAAAGAGATTCCAGGATTCACTGTAATGTCTGACAGCATACCACCAACAAGAACCTGCTCAGACTTGTTTGCAGTGTCGCCATTCATTGCTGCTATGTGCAGTATAAATAATGCCTATGTTATGGAAATGGAATAAGTCCAAATAAATGAGCTGTCAGCTATACAACTTGCTTTAAAGGAGCAGTGTGTAGGATTCAGTGGCATCTAGCGGTGAGGATTGCAGATTACAACCAGCTGAAGCTGCTCCCAGTTAGGATTCCTTCAATGTTCGTTGTTCAGGAGGTTTTTACTGAGACAATGAGAAAATGCAAAATGCGATTGGCCCTGTCTGGAACCAGTGTTGGGTTTGTCTGTTCTGGGCTACTGCAGAAACAAAGCGGTGCAACATGCTCCCTACTTGGATATAAACAGCTCATTCTAAGGTAACGAAAACACAACAATTCTTATTTTAAGGTAATTAACACGCTAAAAAAGACCCCTAAATCCTACACACTGAACTATCAAACAAAATTAGAGTCCATCTTTAACAACAGTGTTGACAAAGTGGATCAAGTAAATCAAGGTGATGATGTGTCGGCACTTCATGAGATACCACCATATCAATAAGTCATGAGATTCAGTGTACACACAGACGATTGGCAGGCCTTTGACACATGCTCGCTGTATTTACACTGCAGGCTTGGCAAAGACGTCCGGCACACAGCTTCAGTGCATCTGGTACAGAAATTGAATCATAATGGCCAGGGAGCATTAAATCAAGAAGCTGTTTGAATGCCATTTTTTGTGTTTGCTCCCTGTAGAGGCGGCGAGAGTACTTTGAAGCCAGCCTGATGAAGATGGGGATGGAGCTGGAGGCGACGCAATCTGTAAGTAGATCGCACTCATTGGAAGGTTCCTCATACTGTATCTCATACTCAAAGCTCCCCTTCGTTGTGTTCTGCAGGTAACAGATGAGAAACTGATGTTTGTGAAAGTCCACATGCCGTGGGACGTGCTGTGCACCTACGCCGAGGTCCTGCACATCAAGCTCCCCATCCAGCCCAACGACCTGTCGTCCCGCCCCTCTCCGTGGCGCCATTTCTCCTGCATCACCAAGTACTTCTACCCCAACGAGGACATGATCTCCAAGGAGACCGAGTACTTCACCGCCCCCTTTGAGAAAGATCGTCTGGAGTATTTCTACGTGAGGGACAGAGATCTCTTCTTCACCCCGTCCATGAGGAGCAGGATGGCAAGTTGTCTCGTGTTGCTGTCGGCAGTTTTCGTATATCTGTTTTATTTTCAAGGATGAAGTTGAAGGGTTGTAAACATACTCTACGGTTATTTAACGATACTGTAACCTCTTCTTTTTCCAGGCATATTACATCCTGAGTCGTGCCCCTTATGAAACACGAGGGAGCGTAAGGAAGTTTGGCATCACCAAACTGCTGGATGGTGGAGTGTACAAAGCTGCCTATCCCCTCCATGATGTAAGTTACATGTTGCGGTCGTATCAGGCCTGGTTTGTGTCCTCTTTTCGTTTGTAACAATCATATTTAAGATTTAAAATTTCGTATTGTTCTCCTGTTGGCTATTTCAGTGTAGGTTCAATGTAAAGTCCAAAGAGGAGGGCTGCCCAAACGAGAGATACCTGCTCTATGAAGAATGGGCTCATCCCAAAAGCTTCTACAAGATGCAACCACTAAACCTCATTAGGTGAACACAATCTTTTATGCTCTTGTCACAAAGATAAACTTTAGTATGAGAATTACTCCTTCTCCTCATTTTCTGTCATATGTATATAATGTTACAATGTCAGATCTTCATTTTAAACGTGGCCACAGTTTCAAATAATGACATAAACGTATGTATAAGTAATCCCCTTTTCCATCTTTTTTTGTACTTTCAAGACGAGCCAATGTCAGCTTGTGACAGATTTCTTTATATGGTCATCTGCTCCAGGCACGCTGCTGCATTACATTATGTAGCATACACTGCTACATTTAGCTACATGCTAACATCAGAGAAATCTGTTATCTTGGTTGCTGATGTTGTTAATTTTGCCCCAGTTTCAGATTATATTCCTGCTGGAACATGTCCGAATGTAAAGATTTTGGTTTAGAGGCTTTTATTGGTGATTTTTTCATGATAGAAAGTACTGCTATACTCCTTCCGTTGGAGGAGGCCCCCATTCATTGCTTTGAAAATTGCTCAGTGGCGCATGAAGCCAAATAAGCTTGATTTCCGCAATATGCAGTTTCCCAGATCTTCGGTATCATGAGGCCGATAGAGTAGTAGTCTGCTTGTGTAGAGACTTGCGTTGGCTGAGCGGCTAAGTCCTGGTTAAGCCCTCCACTAACTTGAATGGGGATAAAAATGATTTAATCCTATGGCTCCTCTAGACTTGTAATGTTATCGGACTAAAATCACAAAAAAAATCAAATCACAATAGTGAAGCGAGTCATTTCGCGAGAGTTATAATGCAAAAGAAAAATTAACTTATATACAGACATCTTTTTCACAAATATCAAGTGTTTTTTGAATAAATATGGATGTGCGATAATATCGGCAGGTCATCTGTACTGGCCGATATTGGCTTTCTAATGAAATATTGAAATCGGCCAACATGCTGATAATACCATTACGTCATCGTAGGGCTGGTCGATATGGACAAAAATTCATATCTCGGTATTCACAGGCTGACTGGCGATACACGATATATATATCTTGGTATTTTGTACAAAAAATGGGCTACTTGTGCTCAGTAGCAAATCAAAGCCACATTGAGATGTCGCAAGCAGTTTTATAAAAACAGGCTGTGATCAAAATAAAATGCAAAGACAGGGATTTTATGCACCTGTTTGAAAATATGCAGGCGGCGGAAGTGCTGTAAAGTTTAGTTGATTCAAAACACACCTAAATCACACATTAAACACACAGTAAACATGGCTTTATAGCGACACTGTAAACACAAGTACATAAATCAGCTTCACTATAACTCGCAGCATTCACAGACAAACACTTGTCTTTATCTTGACACATTTTCCAAACAAATATGACATGCTAATGTTATTAGCACAAGCCTATGGCATTTTACATTGTATAAATTAGCCTAGCGACAAACTGCGATTTCCTCTGCTCATATGAAGCCAGGATAAATCACACACAAGACTGAAAATGCTATTTTTGTGGAGGCTTTATTGTCTTCACAATTTATTGTTTCTTATCTGTGAATTAAAGTAAATGAATCCTTTGTTTCCACTGAGGGAAATTGGTTTCAACGTACAAAAAAGACAGGAGGTCTGCGTCACCGCGACGTGTAGTTACATTTCTGAGGAGGTGCACGTCAGGCTACAGCTCTAAAAAGTGTTGCTGGAGAACCTATGAGTGAGTGTGTGGGGCGGAGCTGTGTGGAGAGTGTGAGAGGAGAGATGCACACTGTTAGGCATCATGTAACGCAACTTGACCCTATATCGATATAAACGGCGTTGTCCAAATTTATATCTAGCTTGAAAATATATCGATATATCGCCCAGCCCTACGTCATCAGAAACGGCCAACCTGCTTTTTTTTAATCCACACAATGAATGAATATTACAGAAAAGTATTGTATTTCATGTCTCCATCAGCTGGTGGCCATCATGATAAGAGTATGCATGCATAATATGATGTTAATTCCACTACTGAAGAGACTTGATGATCACTAAAGAAAGGTTAGGGAAAAAAGCAGAAATATCAATATCGGTTATCAGTTATCGGTCAAATGAGCTGTTACTAGACTTGCACCGATTACAATTTCTTGGGCCGATACCGATTTCCGATTTGCAGTGTTTGGATGGCCAATTCCAAAACATTTTCCTTTTTGCTCAAATATAACTTCAGGTACAGTATTAAAATAAATAAGTAAAAAAGGCATACATAAATAAAAACATCGATAAATAAAATAATAATTCTTGGTGTAGAGCATTTGTGGGTAATTTCTTGAATAGCCAAATAGTAAAAATATCTCCTGTGGAAAATTCACACAGGTCTTCGGGACTCGCCCGCCAGTAAGTGTGCGGACACGCGCCTCGTCAGTTTCAAGCAGCACAGTGCAGCAGTGAGAGCTCTGCAGTTCAGTTTAACACGGACAATTAACAACTTTCTCCTTCGCTCTTTTGATGTGTGTGTGAATGATTAAGGTGAGAAGCCGCCCATGTTTCACTTTCTCACAACGGCCAAGCCGTGAGTTGCACATGTGCGTGTGTGTGCGCTGCTGATATTACAGGATGTCAATTATGCGGCACGGCGGGAATTTGACCGCCGTTTTATGTCAGCATATTCTAGACTGACCGGCCGGTTGCAGGTCATGGCTGATCACGTGAAAAACGGCCCGATTCCGAGCACTGCCGATAAATCGGTGCCAAGTCTAGTTGTTACATATCGGATATCAGCAAAATCCAATATGGTGCATCTCTAGAAACCAAAATCAAAGTATGATCCTGAGCATGTCACTTTTAACATGAAAAAGCTTCACATTCCCTTTGTGTTCAAGCAGGAACATTTATTTTTTATCTCTTCATCCTTGCAAATGAAATGTTAGTTTTCTAAATGAACAGTAAAGCCACACTAGTTCATCTGAAGCACTTTGTTCCCACAGGAAGTATTATGGGGAGAAGATTGGCATCTACTTTGCCTGGTTGGGTTTCTACACAATAATGCTGGCTCTGGCTGCTGTGGTGGGACTGGGCTGTTTCATTTATGGATACAGAACTCAAGAAACCAGCACATGGAGGTACATTTTCCTAAAAACAATTCTGGATGATGGACATGTAAATAAATGATGTATATGTTTATTTCCCCGTCTGATAAATCTCTGTTCGGTGTTTTAATGGCTGCAGCAAAGAGGTGTGCGACCCTGACATCGGAGGAAAGATTATAATGTGTCCACAGTGTGACAAAGACTGTGATTACTGGAGGCTGAACAACACCTGTGAAGCTTCGAAAGTGAGTTTTGTTTTATTTCAACAGTAAATATGAAGATGTTTCTGCAATGTTTTTCACTTCCGTCCTCCCTCTAATGTCACGAAATATACAACGGACAAAAACAGAATCCACTTTGCATGTTTGTTTCCCTACGTGACACAGCAACAGTTTTGTTTAGATCTGATTTGCATGTACGCCGGACAGAACTGGGACAGTTTTGACGTCCTTGTTTCTCTTTTCTTTCTCCATTGTCCTTTAGAAACTTTGCATATTTGATAACTTTGGAACCCTGGTGTTTGCAGTTTTCATGTCAATCTGGGGTAAGTTGCACACGATGTCAGAAAGGTGTTGGCGTCCTTCATTTCTAAGTTTCTAGAGCTGCAGCAACAAGTCAATTAATCTATTAGTGGATTGAACGAGAATCAATTGCCAGCTATGTGGATAATTGATTAATCGTTTCAGTCAATTTTCAAGCAAAAATGTCAAAAAAATTGCTGATTCTTGGTTTTTCAAATGTGAGAATTTGCTGATTTTTCATCATCAATAATAGTAAATTTGACATTCTATAGACTAAAAGCTTAGATTAATGGATAATTAAAATAATCTCTAGTTGCAGCCCTACAGTTTTCCCATAGAGCAGGCATGCTAATATCACTATCTTCGAGGGAAGCTATATTTATAACCGACCATTTGAAATGTTTATTTTGTCCTTATTTTTAGTACTATTAAAGGCAACACACTTTACAGTACATCAGTGTTTATAGAAGATGACGCAGACAATACTGTGTACATTCAGTTGTTTCCTTCTTTCTCACTATTGCCATGCCTGTTTTTTCCTGCTTCTGTTCGTTTCCTGACTGCAGTCACTTTGTTCCTGGAGTTTTGGAAGCGCTACCAGGCAGAGCTGGAGTACATGTGGGACACTGTGGAGTTTCTGGAGCAGGAAGAGCCACCTCGCCCGGAATATGAAGCCAAGTGCATCTATGAGAGGAAAAACCCGGTCACAGGGGTACGTCACACTCACAAACTCTCTGGTTTATTCTATTTGCAGCTAATAATGTTTCCAATAGTCCAAAAATTGTTTCGTGATCACATAACTAAACCAACCAAGAAAGAAATATGTTTTACGTTTTTTTTTTTGTTGTTGTTGTTGTTCAGAAGGTTTAAACCACATGGAGATGCTATGTTGAAATGATGAGTTTAAAGTCGTGTCAACCATTTCACTGTTTTTGTTTGTGATGTAGATCAAAGAGAAAGTGCCCTATACAGCCTGCGGACGATGTTTTCGAGTGTCCATAGGAATTAGCACAGTCTTATTCTGGGTAATGTGTTTTATTTATAAAATGTTTCTTTGTTAACACTGTAATTTACCTGTCTGTAATTTTACAAGTTCTTCAGACATTCTTGTAAATAAATAAGTAAATTGGTGCTAATTATAAAAAGAAAAGGTCAATTTAAACCAATGTAAATTTTCTGTAATTTATCATTTTTTTAATTGGAAACTCAATTTCAAAACAGAATATACGTTAATCTTTTTGATTTTATTTTTGTCCTTTAGATTCTGTTGATCCTGGCGTCCATCGTGGCCATCATTGTCTACCGCCTGGCTGCGTTTTTTGCCTTCTCAGCCAAACTCAGAGCTCAGGATTCCTTGAAGGAGCTGGAGCCCCTGAAGGAGTATGTGACACCTCAGATGGCCACTTCTGTCACAGCCTCTCTCATCAGCTTTGTTGTAATCATGATCCTCAACATCCTCTATGAGCGGGTCGCCATCTGGATCACCGACTTTGGTGAGTTTGCTCTCCTGCCTTCTACCCTGCATTGACCTGCATGTGGTTTTTAATCGGAAATCTTTTCTTGTCTGACACAACAACAGAGCTTCCACGAACTAAGACGGACTACGAGAACAGCTTGACCCTGAAGATGTTCCTCTTTCAGTTCGTCAACTATTACTCCTCCTGCTTCTACATCGCCTTTGCCAAAGGGAAAGCGGTCGGCTTTCCTGGAGACCCTGTTTATCTCTTGGGAAAATACCGGAATGAAGAGGTACGGTTTGTCCATCTGGCTGTTACGTATTTAAAGTTGGGCATACATAGAAAAGTTGTTGACAATTTCCAACTCCCACTGTACGAGTAAATCGTCTGTGATGTAAAGCCAAACTCACAATGCTCACTGTGTGGTCCCATCATCAAGCCACGACCTGAGTGCTCACACAGTATGTGTAAAATAGACGATATAATGGCCTGTCGGCCCCTGTGGACCGTTCTGGCTAATGACAAATGTCAGTAAAGATAAGTTTGAAAGCTAAGTGGCTGCGGGCAGGTCAAAGTTAGCAGCACCAACATACTAGCTGGATATACTCTGTACGATTAATTGATCTGGGGTAATCAACTTATGGATCTGCTTCAGCTGTCCCAGAGCCTGACAACAACTGGCCAAAATTTCTGACGTGAAATTTATCCGAACGTCCAACAGTCGGTTGGGAGCAGTTGATCGGGCCACGATCAGTCCTCACTCCTTCCGCCTGTGCACTGCACGACAAACGACGAAGCTCAAATTCTGTCGGACTCTAAAATTAGTCGTACAGCTCAAAATGGCGTCAGAAATGGGTTCAAATCGTACAGTGTGTGTCCAGCTCTTATTTTGTGTCTCATTGTCCTGCAGTGTGATCCTGGTGGCTGTCTGATCGAGTTGACGACTCAGCTCTCTATCATCATGGGTGGAAAAGCCATCTGGAACAACATCCAAGAGGTCTTGCTACCGTAAGATGTCAGAATCTAAGACCAACTTTACGTCAAATATGGAACGCAAGTAGCACAATGGCAGCTTACACTGTAGATGCAGCCATAGACTTTACACAAAGATGGACGACACGTCTGCACTCCCTCCGACAAAGCGCAAAAATGTAGCCAGAATATCCCAGAAATGGGCGCTGTCATGTTGCGCTGTTGGAGCCAGAGTCTGAGCAGTAGCAGTTGTGGATTTGGAGTATCAAATTCTCGCCCATACACTCGTCCAGGCCAATCGCTGTCAACCATGATGTCAAACCCCCTTTTTATAGCCTCAAATAACCGATTAAAACCAAACATCTGCTAACATGGAGGGGGGAAAGATTTATGACCTATACTGCAACCAGCCACCAGGGGGCGATTGAGGTGTTTTGGCTTCACTTTTGGGGAGCTGTCATGCCGTCCATCTTTATAAACAGTCATGGGATGCAACAAATCTCCAGTGAACTCAAGTGAATTTGCTGCCAATAACAGGAGTCAAGGCCATAGGGCTAATAGCGAATCGTACACCAACTCTCCATTGTCATACTGAGTCACCGTGTCTGTATATGACCTCCTCCACCCCTTCCACAGGTGGGTGAAGAATCTGATTTTCCGATACTGCACCAATGTGGCTTCAGAGAAGGTGGTTCCTCGCTGGGAGCAGGACTACCAACTTCAGTCACCTTCAAAACTAGGGCTGTTCTATGAATACCTGGAGATGGGTAAGTCCCCCATCTGTCGCATTTACAGCTGCATACCTGGAGCCACTTATTATTATGCATGGGTTTGCAATGTGGAGGCTTATGTGTTGCTAAATTGCAAAACAGGTTGCACCACACAAACTACGTCTTACACACAGTAGTGGTTAGTTGTTACCAAATGAGCTAAAACCCTTACTTGTTTTTTACATCTCTGTTTGTCTACAGAATAAACAAAGCTCAGTCTGTATGCTAAGCTAAGCTAACGGGCTGCTGGTGTCAATCTCTTCAGCTAAGTGTTTGCGAGAAGGCAAATAAAGCAAGAATATGAGTATGCATTCCTGAAGGCGAGCAGATTAAGTAATCCTTGAACTATTTTTATTAAAGAGTTACAGTATGCAAGCTGAGTGTCAACAATCACAAATGGTGTGCCAATAATGTCAACTGGTCAGATGTTTCCCTTTGACTCTGAACTACACGAATACTGTTAGTTCTGAAACACAGGTATAGCGGAGCACGTCGTCACATTCAGTTTCGATACTGTTGTCTCACTCTCCTCTGTGGTCCTCTTGTCCATGTGTCACTGTCGTTGTCATGGAGATCCCATTTCGTCCCACCTAACTCATTTGCGTCTGCGTCCAAATCGGATTCAGAATGTTGATCAAAACAGGAATTGTCAGAGTCTGAGTCCATTGACATCTACACAGCTTGCGCAACTGCAAACTTTTCCGTCTGCGCCGGCATTTTCGTGCGGTTAACAAGCTGCTACATTTTTGTAAACATCATCTTCTTCCAGTTTCCAGCGGATCTTCCTCTTTGTTTGTTTTTGGACGTGGCTGTGCTGTTGTACTTCACGAGATGTGTAACAGCGCCCTCCATCTTATAACAGTGAAAACACCGATTGCCAGAATATCTCGTCAATGGCTGCGAAGCGTTCTGTCAGTGACGGAAAATCTCGGCAGTGGCGGGGATAGTGTTAAGTTTTAATGTTGCAACTCTAAGGGAACTAGTTCAAAACTAGCCAGCAAGTAACTAAGGATCTCACACACAATAAGTACCTGTGCCTGTCTTTCCTTATACATGTATCTTGTCTCTCGCAGTCATCCAGTTTGGCTTTGTGACCCTGTTTGTGGCCTCCTTCCCTCTGGCTCCGATCCTGGCTCTGGTCAACAACCTGTTTGAGATCCGGGTTGATGCGTGGAAAATCACCACTCAGTTTCGTCGCATCGTGCCAGAGAAGGCCCAGGATATCGGGGCCTGGCAGCCCATTCTTCAAGGCGTCGCTATATTGGCTGTTGCAACAAATGTGAGTTACTGTTTACACTGAGTTATACGTTTGTACATTTGTTTTAAAATCTAATATAATCTCATTCAGCAATGCCTCAGTAAATCCTACTTTTGTCAAGCATAATGTCCTGGTGTCTCAACAGGCCATGATCATTGCTTTCACATCTGACATGATTCCACGGTTGGTGTACTACTGGTCTTTCTCTGTGTACCCGTATGGAGATCACCCAAATAACACCATGCAGGGCTACATCAACACCTCGCTGTCTGTATTTGACATCAATGACTTCTCCAACTACAGCATGCCCATAGTGACGAGGCACAACATCACCACCTGCAGGTACAATCGGCCCATATGTGTGTCCTCTATTTAATTTTCCTATGTTTGGTTGTGTTGGCATCCATTAGATTATTGTTTCAGAATATTTGCTATTTGTAGTTTGCTATTATTGATTATATTTATGTTATCAGTTATTCCCTAGATGAATGTTGCGTATTGTGAGAGATAAAACTCTTGAATTTTACAGTAATATGTTGTATTTGAGTAAGATATCTAGCTTTCACACAGTAGGCAGTGTTCATTTTGACAGCTAATTTAGATTTAGTCTTAATCTTAGACTTGAGACTAAAATGTGAAAAACTCAAATTTTGATTAAATGCTTTGGAGCCTGTAAAGACACGTTATCAGATAACTTAGCATTTGTGAACAGATAAGTTGGAATCTCTAAACAGAATGATCTCAATTGGACTGAAATGTCTTTTGAGTTTACTTGCAAAAAGGAGATAGCGATGTGATGGAAACATCTGGACAAAATACAACGTCATCACATAAAGACACTTGAAATAATATTTTAAAAAGCTGGTGAGTTCAGTGGATGACAGTTGTGTGGCAAGTCATGTTTGAGTCCTGAAGAAAACTATTAAAAACCTCTCTTTTTTTAAGGTATCGAGATTTCCGGTTCCCTCCCGGGCATTCCAGGGAGTATGAGCACAATGTTTACTACTGGCATGTGATCGCTGCCAAAATGGCTTTTATAATTGTTGTAGAGGTGGGTGTGAACACAACAGGAAATCTCTCTGACACTAAAAAATATAATCAAAGCATGAATTATTAAAACATACTCATGGAGGTGTCTTCTTCTTCTTCTCCTCGCAGCACATTGTTTACCTTACAAAGTTCATCCTGTCCTACATGATCCCAGACGTCCCGTACGCGGTCAAAGAACAGATCAAACGAGAGAAGTACCTGACCCAGGTTATCCTCCACGAGACAAACCTCAAGCTGGTGACCAAACGTTTGAAACCAGCCGCAGACATGATTGTCAAGAACACGGAGGCGAATGCGACGCAGGAGGAGCTGGAGCTTGATTTCTGAATTAAATCTATGGAGGAAGAAATCGAGACGATGTTCATCCCTGATACTGTAAATACATGACTACCCAGCTTTCTGCAACATTTACCCACCTCTGTTTGAATACTGACTTTGTGAACTAGTGACGAATTAAGACCTGGAACAAGATATGGACTTCTGTTATGGAGAATGTGTAGAAACCAGTAAGAAAGACGATGTTTCTGTCGGACAAAGAAAGGAGAAACCACTTTTGTATAGTCTTCACCCACCTACTGTGCTCATGGTCTGGACCCCCATCAGGCTGAAGTGTCTAAAAGGAAGAAGAACAGATCATCTGTCCTCTGTAACTTTCCTCTCAGGTTGACCGATATATCGTACAGGATTTTTTGTAGCTGATGCACCAGTGCACAAACACAGTGTTCCTGATTAGGATGGAATCACACTTCGGCAGGGCGCTGAACATAAATAACTTCTGATAAGAAGGCTGGAGGACGGTGATACTCTACTTGTGGCCAGTGGGCCAAATCTGGCTCGCGATAGGGTACTAGATGGCCCCAAACCATTTTCTAATTGACAATGTAAATAACAGACAACTCAGCAGGGGTCAAGGCGAGGCCCCCATTGTCCTCAAATCCTTAAGGTGCCTTAAAGTGGCCCCTGGGCAATGCTATTTAGTATTTCTGCTGTAGGATTATGGGATATGGTGCGTTGTAATCCTGGGACCATAGACTTATCACTCCAACTTTATATACCCCATTTTTCGTCATGTCTCTTTAGTTATGAAGTAGACATTTATGAAAATACATAATACTTAGTGGTTCTGATGAGCCCTCGGAGAGAAATTAGAAAATGTATCTGAAAAAAACATTGTTTCCCAGAATTCATAGCTGCATGTCTGGTGTTTGTTTGCTCATACCTTTTGTTTTGAAGGCCGCATAGACTTAGAACCAGTTCCTGTCAGGGTATTATCCCCCACTGTCCACCTCCACGCCACTCTCATATTCAAATGTGGACAGACAGTTATAGGGCTTGGGGCATCAGGGATGGAGCGGTGGACCCTGTGCAGCATCACCCTTGGCAGGAGTGAGAGGTGCAGAGCGTCCTGGATGCAATGGGGGATTCTGCCTGGCAGTGGTCACCTTTTCCTGTAGAAGTTCAACCACTGCACTGAGTAGGCTTTTTCTCCTCAGTCTGCCATGGTCAGCCATTTTTGGGAAAGAAGGTCCTAAAGGAAATTATGGTCTTGCGTCTTCGAGAGGAGCTCTGCAAGTCAATGCTGTCCTTGTGTAGGGTCTCCTTACACTGCCAAAAATAGTAATGTTTGCCTGGATGATTTATTTTCCCTAAGATGAATGCAAAAAAAAAATAAAAATAGGTTGTCACTTATGGAGGCCCTCCTGAAGGTCATAGACGCTCTGAACCAAGACTGTCCATGTTATACTCCTTATTCCACATCCAACAGTACCACTTATGACTTCCTGCAACCACTTGGGCACATTCACACCAGGATAGTTCGGGGGACTCTGTTCAATTGGGTGGGGAATGCAAAAAAATGTCAAAACTTCATTTGGTTTGGTTCACTTTCACACAGCACTTTTTAAAACGCACCAAGCCCCTGGACAATGTTACGCAGTTACAACAGCTGCTCGTTTGTAGGCGGTATTGCCCGAAATGACCACTGACCAGGAAGAAAAAAGCATGAGGAAGAAGAAAGCCCAGCTCATTGATTGGCCAGGGCCAAAAACAGAAATCCATCCCCTTCAGCCGGCTTGGTCACCACAAAAACACCAAAATGCACTGTGCTCTACGTCACTTCCTCTCTTTGGTTCACTTCCTCTCTTTGGGTCGCTGGATAGTCCGTTTGCAGTTCCCACTGTAAGCGAACCGCACCAGGGTTCACTTGCAAGTGAACCGAGACGCCCAGTTTTCAAGCGGACCAGGGTTGGCTCGTTTGGTCTGCACCAGAGTTCAAATGAGCGTTCACACCACTCCAAACGAACCAAACTATCCATAGAAGTGGACCAGGGTTCATTTAAAGCGGACCAAATAGCGCCAGTGTGAATGCGTCCTAAAGTAATTGATATTCGGAAAGGGATGGGTTAGGGTTAGAGACTATAAAGTTGTGTAGTACAGGGTTAGGGTTAGGGGGTTAGGGTTAGGGGGGTTCAGTGCTATTTGTTCTAATCTGAAGCCAGTATTGAATTTTAATGTATTTAGATTTTAACCACTTTAAACAGCAAATCAATTCTGAATAACTTCAAATGTATTTATATTACACACATTAACTTGACTTGCTGGGTGTTTCATGTATTGGTTTTTGCAGCCTGGTTTGGATGTGACAGCAAAGAGAAGCAAATGAGTGCCTCACACTTTGAAGTTTCACACTAAAGAGCACCAACCATTTGGTGGATTAAGTATGAAATACAACCAAACAAAACAATCCCAGCTCAACGTGCACCTACGAGTTCTCTTCCAGGTCTTCCAGTCATCTGGAAATGTGCTCAGTTGTCGTGGAAATGGTTCCGGTGATATGTGAGCTTGTAGGATTTAGTGTTGGCCTAAAATGTAAGCTACCCAGAGTTACCCAGAGTTTCTTCCAGTTTTATGTTTGTGTTACATTTCAGCTTGGTGAAATCAGCATTGCGGTGCATCACTCCGTCCACTGAGCTTCATACCGGTAGCTGGAAGCTTTCACACATGTAACCAGCAAGTGCCACAGCTGGGTGATTGTTTTAGTGTAATGCTGTCACGAAATATCAGTATTATTATTATATAGACAAGAAAATGCAATATTGATGATGGATGAAGAGTGTTTTACACTTCAGCTCACACTGTTACACAAGTGATGAGACCAAAAGAGTTAGAATAGACATGGACTAACTGATATACTGACTAAATGTGCCTCGAACACCTTTACCTTAGTGAGCATCTCGAATGTTTCAGAAGCTGTATTGTTAGTAGGGTGATAGATGTGATGCCACGTAAAGAGTTTACAATGATTTCAAACTGACCGCTCTTTCATCATCACACCAAATGCAGTTTAGCCTTTTTTAAAGTTAGTGAAAGAATTGCAGCCCTGTGAAGTGGTTTCGTCGACGATGTGAGTATAGTCTGTCACTTCCTCTATTCAGATACTCTCATCCACTATGCACTTTTTAATGACATGAGTTTGAGTCCTGTGCCTTGACCACTGCACTGCACAACATTTTGACTGCATGTTTTATCCTGTGATAAAGGCGATACAGTAATTTAGACTTCTCCTGTGTCACTGCTTCAATCTTGGATCAATACCTCTGCTGTATTATTGCCTCGCCAATGGTACCATAACAACCATGTATGTAAACAGTATCATATACCAGCAATATCTGATCATGCATATGTGTCTTGTATTTTTATCTTGTCAGTGCCATGAAATTGTTTTATAAAAAAAAAAAAGTTTTTCTTGTGTGTATTAAATCTTGGGTTAAAGGCTCTCTTAAGATTAAAAAACTTTACACGAGTGTATGCTTTATTTGTTGTTGTTTTTTTGACATTGGGCCAGGTGTTGCTACATCAGAAGATATTCGTTGTATTTTATCCACTCCTACTGACGTACGTGAGATAAAATATCTCCTACAGCAGTGGTTCCCAACTGGTGGGTCGTGGTTCCATTCTGAATGGACTGTAAGTGACATGCGAATGTTTCAAGCTTGTAATAAGCACACTTTATTTTGAAGTACTGCAAATTTCCCAATCTGAGCTTTCATTTTGAAATGTTGTACAGTGATTGAATAATGGACAGCTACTTAATAGAGACAACAAACTAGCTCTACGACATAGCCCAATACATTCTCTCTCTGACCTCGTCACTTCCCATGTCCAGATGTGATGTGCAAGGTACCCTGGGTGCGTTGGTTGTTAACGTTCCGGGACACCGTCTCAACAACTGTTACATGCTTTGACTTTTTTCAAAATACACTTCCGTTTTCACAGGAAATTTACCATTTGCTTACAGTCTGCTTCAAAATAAACGCACTACGTTGGTACAAAACCACAAATTGACATCTTTTTTCCTTCAACAAGAAACGTATATGGTTATGTTTTGTTAACAGTCGTGCATCATTGGGTTTAGGCAACAAAAGTACGTGGTTGGGTTTCGGAAAAAAGCAAGGTCTGCTATACAATCTTCTGGGAAGAAAACCCCGGCTTCCCAGGTGAAAGTCAGTGGTTGTTGGATGATCCACCCACACCCCTCCTGGCCACCCTATTTGGAGTTTGCCTCAACTTTCGTTAACATCCCGCTGCATTTCTCCTTGACACTGTCGGCCACCGTTAAACTATAATGGCGACTGCCTGCATGTCATGCCAATGGATGGCTTTTGTTGTTGGTGTCTGACGCCGGAAATCACTGCGCAGCAGAGCCAAACACAAGTACGTCCCCTTTGATTTATTTAACTGTGTGGACCTGGAACTAATGACTAAAGAGAAACCTTAACCCCATGGCTGGACCAATTGGGAACCACTGCATAAAAACCTTGCAAGGTAATGCAGTACTGAAGTTTAGGACCCCCCCAATGGGTCACGATGAATCTGAGGGGTCACCAAACTGTTCATTTCATCTTTTTTTAAATGCAAACTGTTTGAGAATCGTACCTCACTGGAACTCATTCAGATAAAACCAGAGAAGAATTTGGTTGATCCGGCCATTATCTAGAGCAGTGGTCCCCTTATGGGTTCACAGGATAAATCTGAGAGGTCACACGAGTAAACTGATTTGGGAATCAACTGCACCAAATTATTGTTTTTTCCTCTAATCACAGATTTTACTCAGGAGTTATTGGGTAACTTGGCAAAATGAAACAAACTGAGAATAAAATAAAATCACTCTTGGTTGAAGAGGACACCTCAGAGTGGAATTTTTAACACAATGAGGGGCAGCGAGAGGACACAGCGTCATTTTCAAAAAGGTTGTGTCATACAGAGCAACAGGCTGCACCTCTGTTACAGTGTGTAAACAACCCTGCTGAGACATTAAGAGCTTCACAAATTTACCAGTAGCTGTTAGGTTGCATCACAGTGCACAAGTGAGCCTAATAAACCAGAGAATGGCTGTTGGCTCTGCTGTATGAAACCACATGATGTCATGCCGTTAGAATCTACATCAGTTTCCAGATGATATATAATCCTTTCAAACTGGAAAGGCCCTACGTCTGTATGTGTACTTTTTTTATTTTATTTTATTTTGTTTTGTCTTTCATTATCCATTTTTTCGGTTTTGCAGTTAAAGTAATACCCTAATCTGTATTCAAATGTAACTGTAAATAAAATTCTTATTTATATAACGTAAAAATACGTTCGTCACTACAATAAATATCTACATAATCATCATTAATAAACTAAAACTAAACTAAGATATAGCAGGTCAGTGTGGTGGCGGCTTTCTTTACGTCTCTTGCATTTTTGATCAGGCAGACTTCGACACTCTCTTGACGTCATCTAGATGCGACAAGGACCCACTGTAACTCACATGTACGCCCACTGTGTGCGTTCATGAGGTGGACCATCCTTGACAGCAGTACAAGTGTGTAGATTTTATCATATTTGATCGATAAATCAGACAGTGTCTCCATAATGAGCTCCCAGATCACCTGTGTCGGATGGGTGGCTCGAGGCGTTGCCAAGGAAACCCCGGACAAAGTAGGTAGCATGTTAAGCTAGCCTGCGTTAGCCAACTAGCGGCTAATTTGTCAACATGGCAGGTAGACTACTACTACTACTTTACTAGTTTAACTGACCAAACTACTAAGCCGTTTGGCTTTAATTTACATTTTATTTACAGCCAGTGTGGCGCTTTAGACTGCCTAAACAAAAACTGTCGTGTAATAAAACATTTTGTAACAGTAGCTACAGCTAACTAGCAAGGCTACCTGTCAGGGTAGCTGTACTGTAATATAATTGAGAATACCCTGAGCTAGTCAGTGCTACAAGTGGCACAAGGGAAGTATTTTACCTTTTTATTGTGGTAGCAGAAGAAATATAAAGTTGAGAAGTAGGAGTAGAAAACGTAGTTACCATGCAGCTGATGCTAGTATTGCAGGGAAGTGATGAAAAATTAAATCAAACCTGTTGGAAAGGATATAAAATGTTAGTTTTAATGTTAAGTGTTTAACTTTTATTACACTTGATTGGTTGTTTAAAGCTTGACGTATATTTGTATATATATATTACATATATATATTATACTTGCTGTATTCATAGACCTATTTACTTATTTACTATGAATATTTTAGATCATTCTGTAAATCTTAATTAGTGCTTTATTAAAACCAGGTGCACTGGAATCAGGTAATTAGCATATCGACTGACAGTAAATGATAGACAGGCTTTTATAACAGAAGTCCAGGTTCACAATCTCTGTTCTCTCACCTTACCCTCCTCAGGATTGACTCTCCAGCCATCACTTACAGGGCAGGGGTTAAGCTCCACTGTCACACCAGTACACACTCTAATCCAGTGGTTCCCATCTGGTCCAACCATGGGGCCCAATTTTCTCCTTAGTCATTAGTTCAAGGTCCACGCAGTTAAATATATTCAGTGTCATACTTGCTGTCTTTGTTAAGTAGCTGTTGGTTAGTCACTCTACAGCAGGAAACAGCACTTGAAAATAAAAGTTCTGTGCTGGAAATTTACTGCACTTAGAAATAAAATATGATTTATTTTTTTTTTAACAAACTTGACACGTTTGCAAGTCACTTGTGGTCCATTCAG